GGGGGCGATATGCTGACTCTGTAAACCGCTTAGAGAGGGCTGAAAGCCCTATGAAGTGGTATATAAGTCTAACTGCTATTGCTATTGCTATTGGTTCTCTCTCTAACGAGTATCCTGGAGCATCAGGAAACTACCAGAGAGAGGAAAAAGTGGAAAGAGCGACCCATAACTAAGGCAGAACACCAGCATGGAGTTTGAATCTGCAAAGACAAAGTCGGGAAAGCAAAGACTCAGTGTCACACGCTAGCTTCAACTATAGTGGTTTCCACCAAGGTCCTCTGGTCCGGCGGGAACAGAGGCTTAATATCATTGGTCGAAGGGTCTGTCAACTCCCTATAAAGGGGCTGCTGTCAGACTCAAACTTCGCGGGATTGTTCTCACTTGTTGCATTTAATAACGAGCTGTTGCTACCGTTACGCCTGTGTGTGCCTCTCCATTACCCGATCTAACACTCAGAATGAACATTTACAACAAATGTCACAATCTTTAAAAAGTTCCTTTCAATATAAAAAATACAAGGAAAAAGTCAAGGAAAAAAACCAGTCCACTAATGGGAGAAGATGACAAGAAGGTGACAGGAAGCAAGGGACTGCTAAATTCATTCTTTGTATCTGTCTTCAGAGAGAGAGAAAAAATAGTCCAACCTACCAAAAGCAGAATCCTAAAAGACAAGACTAGGAATACAAGTCAAAATAGACAAGAAATGGTAAAACAACACCTATTCACCCTATTCAAATCACCAGGACCAGATGGATTACAGCCCAGAGTTCTGAAGGAGCTGGCAGACAAGATCTCAGACCCATTGAATTATATATTTCAAAGATCCTGGAGCACTGGGGAACTACCAAAGGACTGGGAACCAAGCAGCAGATTTGTGAACCATGAACGAGGTGATTAATAGAAGCCGGCATCAGTTTATTAAAAACAGATTGTGCCAAAATAAACCCTGATTGCCTTTTTTTATAAAGTGACTAAATTAGCGGATCAAGGAAATGTTGTATATACTTGGACTTTGGTAAGCTATTTGACAAAGTAGAGCACAGCCTACTTTTTGGAAAGACAGAACAATGTGGAACAGGCATTATCACCACCAAATGGATTCAGCTACCAATCACAGCAGGTAGTCCTCAATGGAACAATATCTGCATGGAGGGAAGCATGGAGTGCAATATCTTCTGTCTTAGGCCCAGTGCTCTTCAATATCTTTATAAATGATCTCTCAGTGCTCTTCAATATCTTTATAAATGATCTCTCTAATTTTATATCCACATAAGATATCACATAGTTACTGCTGAAAATTAACTCGTGATAATAGGTCAGCACTCAAATGACTCTCTGGCGTGCCATTGCAATCTTGTTAGTCTGACTTCCACTTTAACTCAGAGAAATTGGCAATAGCAATAGCAGTTAGACTTATATACCGCTTCATAGGGCTTTCAGCCCTCTCTAAGCGGTTTACAGAGTCAGCATATCGCCCCCAACNGGGGGCGATGCTCATCTCCGTTTCAAAGCCAAAGAGCCAGCGCTGTCCGAAGACGTCTCCGTGGTCATGTGGCCGGCATGACTCAACGCTGAAGGAGCATGGAACGCTGTTCCCTTCCCACCAAAGGTGCTTCCTATTTTTTTACTTGCATTTTTACATGCTTTCGAACTGCTAGGTTGGCAGAAGGGGGACAAGTAATGGCAACTCACTCCATTACGCGGTGCTAGGGATTCGAACTGCCGACCTTTCTGATCGACAAGCTCAGCGTCTCAGCCACTGAGCCACCGCATCCCCCGATAGGTCTAAAGAACACCAAATTTAGGCGGGCTGATTTCGCATGTTGACGACACAGTTCATCCAACTATAGTGAAAGATTTTGAACAGCTGATAAGGCAATTTAAGCAGTATTATATGGAAGTGAAGTGACAAATTGTAATATTATCGTTTACCATTACCCTGCCTCTTGACTTCAGGCAAATATATTTGTTGAACACTTGAAAAACTGGGCCCTGAAGACTTTAAAAGAAGACTATGGGAGGCAAGAAGACCTCACAGCCATTTGGGACACTACAATGAAACAGGTAATTCAGCTGGCAAAGACCAGTTTTATAAGACCATAGACTCATGGGGCTGGAAGGGACCTTGGAGGTTTTCTAGTCCAATCCACGCAAGGCAGGAGTCCTTATACCATCCTGGACAAATTAATGTTCAATCTTTTTGGAAAAGCTCCAGCAATGGAGTGCCCACAGCTCTGGGAGGCAAGCTTTTCCACTGACCGATTGTTCTCCTGTCAGGAAATTCCTCCTTAGATTGGTTTAGATTGGTTATTGGTTAGATTGGTTATTAAGAGCCGAGGTGGCGCAGTGGTTAGGGTGCAAGCCACTTCAGCTGACTGTTATCTGCAGTTCAGCGGTTCAGCGGTTCAAATCTCACCGGCTCAAAGTTGACTCAGCCTTCCATCCTTCCGAGGTGGGTGAAATGAGGACCCG